GACCTGAAAGATGTGTTTTATTACTTTTTCAAGGATCAACTAAAGAAACCAATTCAAAGCCTCACATACACTAATTGGTAACATTAGCTTAGCTTATTTACCTTTTTTATAGCTTGACTGGATTTAGAGAAAGCTTTTATTTTATGTAGCACCAAAAAACTGTTGTACTGATGCTGTTACTGTTGTTCTTGTTAGGAGTGAAGGAGATCGACATTGCAGCCTCACTGGAGCACATCAGGGACCAGAGACCTGGCTTGGTCCGCACCAAGGTACCTTCAATCTGTGTGTTTGTGTGTGTGTGCATTTTAGCACTTAGACGTCCATCATAATCCAACTGTCTACGTCTGTCCTACTTCCAACCATCCCTCCTAACACCTTTCACTCTTTCATTCTGCCTCTCTGTCTCCTGCTCATTCTGATCAGGACCAGTTTGAGTTTGCGCTGACGGCAGTAGCTGAGGAGGTGAACGCCATCTTGAAAGCCCTGCCACAGTGAGCTGCAGCAGCTGAAGTGAGGACACAGAAATAGATACTCATGAGGACACACTCATATGATGCAGTCATTTATGTCTGACCTTCACTGTAAATAAGAATTTGCTCTACCACACTCGGAGCAGTTACTGCTCTCGTTTTCAGCATGCAGTATTTCACCATCTACTCATCCTCTGAGTTTTTAAAACTTTTTTGGATCTGTATTTTATTATTAATGCATTCAATGATTTTTGGCGGGGTGTAGATATGAACAGAAGATGCGTTTTTTTTCACCATTATGGCACAAATTTGATCTCTGCCTTTGCTCTCTGGAGTTTCTACCTTGTTAGACAATAATGAGGCCATCAGATGTAAACTACAAAGAGTAAAAACTTGCATATACCGTGCCTGTGTGAATCCAGATGAAATTTCCACATTGACTTTTGCTTGAGTCTGACAGGATAGGATACACTTCTGTTGGTGGTTGTATGGCATAATGGCATAATGATGTGTAACATTGTTTGCCTATCCTATTAACATCTGATTACCATTTACCTCTGTAAATGTTATAAGGAGTTTGGT